TATTGAAAATTTATATTTAAAATCTCATAAGTTAATTTCATCATATCCACAACTTTTGTTTTTTTTAAAAAAAATTAACAAGATTTTTTATAATTATTTCTACAAAATATTAAATAATTTTTAATTAAAACTGATTTTAAAAGTAAAAATTAAAAAAAATGTGGGTTTTCTTCCTTTATTTTTATATTAATTTTATAAATATTTTGGATTTGATCTATTTCACACCAATGAAATGGAAATAGAGGATTCCAACTCTTGTTAGGTATACACATTTATAGTATACATAATATATATAACACTATTATATAATATATATATATATTATATTTGTATATATAATATGTAAAAGCCCAAAATTTTAATAGAATGAATATATATTATAAGGAAGCAAATAATAATTATGATTTACATTCCTTACACAATAAATTAGGATACCCAATAGAATTATGGAAATGTCCTTTCAAAAAAGTTAAAATAATAGAAATAGAAATGAAACTGAAATCCTATGAGGTCAATCTCCACTGAAAACTTTGATGAGATCCGGGAGGTAACATTTACTCGCAACCCTCCTGCTGTTCAGGATCTAGATCTTGATCTGAAATGGTTAAATAGGGGGATGAACTACACTAACCCAATAAGAATATCATACTAATCACTTATACGGAAAATTGAAAGTCAGTAAAAATTATAAAACAACTGATGGAGCCATTAGTTTAGGTAAATTCATTTAATATAAAACTACGCAAGTTTCATACTTACCTTTATGAGTTTTTAAAATCAGCCTATAAAGACAATAACTTAAATAATATTATGATTTCATATCCAATGAGCAAGAATAACAACTTACTTTTTTACCTACTTACCGGTACCATTGGAGGTCCATAAGGATATCCCCCTACGCGTGAACCCAATAACTAACTTATCATTTAACTGATCGTCTACTTACTCCGTCCGGTAACGAACGCCAAACATCATCGCCTTGATACCCCGTCCGGTATGAGGATAAATCACATCTCTCAAACCCTTTCAGTATGAGATTTCTCAGTTCTGTTCGACTGAGATAATGTCCATAGTAAGGTTTTCTATGTACCGGGTATGTCCACTCTTTTACAGGATACCCAGTAAGCCTTTCACACATAGATTCACACCATTAATCAATCACTAAATTACATATCAATATTTCATATTTATAAATTAGTAGTAAATCATGCAAAGATACAGTATATAAATCAAGAGAACATAATTGAGACATTTATTGCAAAACGAACCAATAAATGTGGCTATGTAATTAGGTAAATTAAATAATCGAGAAGATAATTAAAAATAGCAATTTAACGCATACAACATAATAGTTAGCATTTTATGCAGTATATGAAAAAATAAACAGTAACTAAAGCAAATATGCACTGACCGGTTCTGGCTCCACTAGTGACCTATAATTAATTTTAGGATTTTTTAATTTTTACAAAATACAATATCATTGATTATTAAATTTTAATTTACCGTAATAGAGAAAATAGTGAAGAATTCTTATCCCAGATCGGTGTCTGAAATACCGTACTTTTTACTGTGCCTCTTTGCGGTCTCTCGGTTTCTTGAAAATTGTTCTTGCGAAAATTAAAACACCCGTCACATTTTCAAAAATACCCTAAAATGCCAAAACAGGCATTGAAAATATTTTCAACCAATTTTAGGGTTTCAGCACAGTGGTGCCACCATGCTCTGGCACCGGCTCCGCCGCCCACTGTGGCAGTTCGCCTCAACCTGGCCAATTTTGGCTGGTTTAGGCCAGTTTTGACCGATTTTATACATAACCTATGAAAAACCAAGTTAGGAGGCCTCGGTTGGTCGGAAAAGGCAAAAAACCAAAACCCTATCGACAGAAGGTCTTTGGGTGCGGCGACTCCATCGGTCCTCCTTTGCAGCTGAAGTTTTCCTTCGGCTAACCTGCACTAGTAGAATACGGTGAATACAGTGGTAAAAAAATTACATAAAACGGGAAACGAAAAGGGAGTCACCGGAGAGGGTTTTGATTTTTGGCCATGGCGGCTCCATCGAGCTTTGCCTGCAGTTTTTGGCTTACCCGTCAATCATTTTACTCTGATATGGCCATGGGGAGGCTCGAGATTGAATTTCGAGTGGGAAGGGGAAGATTTTACCTTTCTTGGCGGTCAGCAACGGTGGCGTCCTTCCAGCAGCTGATC